TGTCAGGGACAAAACAAGCATTGGAACATTCCGTCACTGAGATTTCGGCTATTTCGGTACCCAAGTTTGAGATTTCTCCATCGAATAGGCCTGACCGGCATTTGTACATGGTATCCTGTCTGGTGCAATAGTATACTCTCATGTTTTTTTTACCTGGTCTTGCCGATAAGAAACGGGAGTTATGACTACCGTATTCCACAGATCTACAGTTGTTTCTAGGAACGACACTAATTCTGCAAAAACAGTGAGGATTGCAGGGAGAGCCGTGTACAGTGGGAAAATTGGAGTCGACACTACTCGAAGGGATTCGTATGTTTTCTCTTTGAATATTAAATCATATTCACGAAGTAGTGCACAATTTCCCTGCAAGATTTTAAGTGTTCTATATAATGGACGATGCGCTAACGCATAATTATTCGGTAACGTGCTAGCATTCTCCTTGGGTAGCCTAACATAATAACCATCATTGCTTCTGCGCTTCTCAATGGTGCAGTCAAAGAATTTTCGCACCTCTTCAGCTATTGAAGCCTTTTCTATTCTACTAGGACCCGTGTACTCCCCGATTCCTGCCGAGTCAATACTCCAAAACTGATCCCACTGGTCCAGCTCGGAATCGGTGTTGAATGAGAAATCTTCGTCGCTTCTCTTTTGTTTGTTGCTTACACATGAAGTGACTGCATGATTTCCCGGAATCGCCCCATGCTTTTCTTCTCTCCCTGTTATAAGGTACCCCTGTTTAGATGGTATTACCTGTAATCCTGAAGGAAGCGTATGAGGATTTTCGGAGAAATCTATTAGCCCCATAACTGGTCGCATCCTAGAAGATTTTCGGGCTTCAGGGAAGAATGTGCTATCTTTTTGGAGAGCTGAATCCGTCCACGTTCAAGATAACCTAAGTCATCCTTACACAAGGTTACCTGTTTGCCACTACCCGAGATGACGTTTATCTACATAGAAGTAGATCTAGGGGATTCCCCTGTTCAACCAGTATCTGCAGTGAAGTAACGTCATACATGCTTGGGCTTTGGTGTTTTTTTTTCTCCAAAGGTGTATAAGGACAAGTTGATTTTATCCACATTAGGTAGATCAAGTTGATTGGCAAGCTCCTTTCTGTATAAAAGATCTGTCTGCGCCAGTATCGAAAAGAATCTGTACATCGCGCATCTCTCCAGTTATCTCGTTTCTAACGCGTGCCATTCCTGCAAGAAGGAAGAC